CCCGAGCAGCACACGGCTCCACCGCTTCTGCTGGCTGGTGCCGACCTAGGTGGGTCTGTCCCATCTGGAGCAGCATGCAGCTGAAGCCAGATTCCCACGTGCTGCTGGGGACAGGAGGAGCCCAGCCAGGTCGGCACTGGCCAGCAGAGCGGCAGTGGAGCCACGTGCCACTTGGGACTGACCGGCGCAGGTAGGGGGAAAATGCAGCTGAGCCCCTGCTGCTCTGGCCCGGCTCGTCCTATCCTGAGCGGCACACGGCTCCACCGCCACTTCTAAATTACATTTCTTGTGTGCCCTTTCCTCAAACCCTACTGTCCAGCAGCACCAATTTAAGTCAGGGCTGAAACTACAAAGGCTATGGACAAACTGGTTTATGTGTAATGTCTAAGTGATCAGAAACTGGTTTAAACCTGTAACAGAACAGAAGTTCAGTGCACATAAACCAGTTTGAAAATGGCTGAAACCAGTTTGAGATAAACTTGGTTGAATGTAGTATCAGACTTGCCTGATTTGGGTCAAACCAGTTTATGCAGTCTCTGCCCCAGACCCTTATCTTTTTACTGTTATCTACTTGACCAAAAGAAGTCTCTTCTAAAAGTTTTATTACCTGTCAAACTCCATATTAAAACACTGTTTAGAAAGAACAGCAAAGACAAAATTCTAGCTATTTCATTTCTATGCTAGTACACTCCAATTCTGTCTTATCTACAATATCAACATCTGTCATGCACAGTATACACATTTTTCTATCAAACATATCTTCAGTCAGGTCATTTTTCCATTCAAACTCAAGACTAGCAGCTTTTTGTAGGAGTCCAAATGGTACTTACTAGAAGCAATGCTTTCCAAATACTGAAGGAGCTGTTCAAGTATTCACTGGGAATGAGCCCAGAACATACAAAATACAAGACATGAAACTGGTAGCATCAGCAGTTCCTTCCACTACTGTCATTTCCTTACATACAAGTCCCAGTATTTACTACACTAAAGATTTGTGTGTGCTTGTGAACAACACTGCAAATGCTGGGAATTAAATATGTAATCCTTTAGATATGGGGTGTAAAACATGCAGCCTCCAGACTAGACCTCCCTGCTGGGCTACCAGTGCACCAGAGAGTTAGAGGACATCACCAACAGTAGGCCATGCCTCCTGCAGAATCTGGGACCCTGGTAAACATAACCATCAGCTGCAGCAGGGGCAAGTGAGGGCTGTGCTCTTCAACTTGCCCCACCACCACTTGAAAAGCCTCCACCATGACAAACAGCTGCCTGGTCCATAGTTGCTTGCCCAACACTTGCTGTGATGGCCACAGCTGCCAACCCAGGTCCCAGGCCAGATCCAGCCCACAAGAAGCCTTGTGGTCCACATCCAACCAGGAGCAAAAGGTAATTTTGATATTGCTGTTTTAGATGTTCTTATAGCATAACACTATTCAACCCAAGGTTCAGTTTCTTTTTAAGTAACGCCCAAAGTAATCCTTACATTTAATCAATATGAATAAAATGTATTACTCTCATAGGCAGGATAATTTTGTTGTTCTGTATTAACTCTTCACTTTGACCTCTTTTTTCTTCTCCCTCGTCCATCATTCTAACGCCTCTTCACTTTCACTTCACTTCCCAGGTGCTTGTAAAATAAAGGACTAAATTTTGGCTTTGCCTTGAGAATCCCGATAAGGAACAGTGTTGCACCCCAAGGGAGGCCAGGGACAGATTATCAGCTACAGTGTTTTCCACTTTCACAATTTTTAAGGCACATGCCTTGAGATACTTGAAGTTATGAAGAAGTTTCCAATACTCGGGG